TATGCACAAGCACTCAGAATTCTCCTTAAATGACTCCATGATTAGACTCTGTTCCACCAGCTCCTCCTTTTTTATTTTTTAAAATCAGGATATCCACAGTGGCTTTCATTTGAGATGTTGTAGATAAAGCTATTTGTCATTTGATACATGAGTAAACATAATGAACAGTATTAGAAGAGTTAAAGCATTGTATGTAATACTCTGTAACCAAAAAACAGGGATTTAAACTATGTTGAGTACTATTGGTTACATATATAGTCAGTTTTGGAGAATGTTCCATGAGGTACTAAGAAGGTACATTCTTTTGTGTTTTGGTAAAATGTTCTGTGGATATTTGTTAGGTCCATTTGAGTCATAATGTCTGTTTGTTCTGTAATTTTTCTGTTTAGTATCTGTCTAGACCATCTGTCTACTGGTGAGAGTGGGTTAGTGAAGTCTTCTACTGTTAATGTGTGGTGTTCAATAAATGATTTACTCTTTAGTAATGCTTCTTTTACAAATGTGGATGCCCTTGCATTTGGAGCATAGATGTTGAGAATTGAGATGCCTTCTTAGTGGATTTTTTTTCATTTGATGAATATTAAGTGTTCCCAATCTCTTTTGATTAATTTTGGCTGAAAGTCTTTATTATTAGATATTAGAATGGCTACACTAGCTTGCTATTTGGGTGCATTTGTTTGGAAAATGTTCTCCAACCCCTTACTCTGAAGTAATGTCTATCTTTCATGGTAAGGTGTGTTTCTTGTATGCAGCAAAATGATGGATCCTCTTTTCACATCCATTCTGTTACCTTGTGTCTTTTTATTGGGGAATTGAGTCCATTGATACTGAGAAATACGAATGACCAGTAATTGTTAATTCCTGTTATTTTGATGTTGCTGGTGGTAGTGGTGGTGTGTCTGTTTCCCTTATTTTGATTTTAATGGTGTGAAATCATTTATGTCCTGTGTTTTCTCTGATGTAGTTAACCTTGTGTTGGAGTTTCAATTCTAGTATCTTCTATAGGGCTGGATTTGTGGATGGATATTGTTTAAATTTGTTTTTTTCATGGAATATCTTGTGTTCTCTATCTATGGTGATTGAAAGTTTTGCTAGGTATAGTAGTCTGGGCTGGCATCTGTGATCTCTTAGCGCCTGCAAACATCTGTCCAGGCCCTTTTGGCTCTTAGGGTCTCTGTTGAGAAATCAGGTGTAATTCTAATAGGTCTGACTTTATGTGTTAGTTGGCCTTTTTCTCTCAAAGCCTTTAATATTTTTTCCTTGTTCTGTACATTTAGTGTTTTGATTATGACATGGCGGGGGACTTCCTTTTCTTGTTCAATCTATTTGGTATTCTGTAAGCTTCCTGTACATCTATAGCATCTTTTCCTTTAGGTTAGGGAAATTTTCTTCTATGATTTTGTTAAAATATTCTCTGGACCTTTGAGCTGGGATTCTTCTCCTATGTCTATTCCTATTTTTTTAGGTTTGGTCTTTTCATAGTATTCTAGATTTCCTGGATGTTTTGTGTTAAGAATGTTTTAGATTTAACATTTTCTTTAGCTGATATATCAATATCTTCTATGTCTGAGATTCTCTCTTCTACCTCTTGTATCCTGTTGGTGATGATTATGTCAGTAGTTACATCTACTTACCTAGATTTTCCATCTCCAGGATTCCCTCAGTTTGTGTTTTCTTTAATTCCATTTCCATTTTCAAATCTTGAACAGTTTTATTCATTTTCATCACCTGTTTGCATTTTCCTGGATTTCTTCGAGGGATGTATTAATATCTTCTTTAAGAGTCTCTATCATCTTCTTAAGATTGTATTTAAGGTCATTTTCTTGTGATTCAGTTGTATTGTAATATCCAGGGCTTGCTGTGGTAGGATAGCTGGACTTTGGTGGTACTATATTACCCTGGCTATATTTAATTTTGTTAAGCTGCCTCTAGTCATATGGGTTTGTAGTTGTTATCAGTTTAGGTGTTGATTTCTGATTTGATTAGATGTGTATTTTTTTTTGATGTTTTCCCCTCAGTTTCTGTTTTCTCTCTGGTCTCCTGGCCTGAGCAGACTGTGGTTCTGGTGACCAGCAAGTCTTCAGGTCCAGTGGGGTGTCTCCACTGAGGTTTTTCTATCTTGTATGACATCTGGGGTTTTGGGTGCCTATGTTGCCTATGGGGTTCCTAGTAATGTATGAACTCCAATAGAGCATAAGTTTTCTGCCAAAATTGTTGGCTGGAATATGAAGCCCTGGGAAGGGGGTTACTAGCATGGCCTCCAGTAAAGCAGAACTCTTCTGCCAGAGTTAGTGGTGCAGTATATGGAACCCACAGGAGGGGAGGTTGTTGGGGGTTATCTGGACTATGAATCCTTCCCAATCATTGAATGGCTCCATCAATATAAAAAGTTTCTGCCTGTGGAATGGGAAAAGATTGGACAATTTTAGCCGGGCGGTGGTGGCGCACGCCTTTAATCCCAGCACTCGGGAGGCAGAGCCAGGCGGATCTCTGTGAGTTCGAGGCCAGCCTGGGCTA